TGGCTGCTCAGAGGACCTCCCCGGCTCTCTGTATGTTCCCTTTCAAAAAGAAGGCACTAAGACTTCCCAATGGAGTAAACAAGCCATGCTGCCTGTCTCTGCTCTCAGGAATGGATTCAGGAGCCTCTTTGGGCTATTCTGATGGAGATGAATAGCAGAAAAGCTCTGCCTCTACAGATGAGACTGCAGTTCCAGCTCTCCTTGGGAGCAACCCAGGAAAACCTACGAAAGGGCCACTTCCCCTTTCCAAAGTCTCCTAAATTTACATTCGTCTTTATTTATTATTAATTATATTCTTATAAAGGACTTTTACGCACAAGTTTAGACAGGCTGAATACATTCTTTATCACATTTTACTAAACCAGTATTAGAGCCTGTTTAGAACTCTGCTTTGAACTCTACCTCCACACCTGCAGTTCTACCTCCACACCTGCAGTTCTCCTGCAACTTCACAGATGCTAAGGGGGAGAAGGCACAGAAAGCAAGAATGCCCCTGTAGATGCCTTCACCTCAGTGCCTTCTCAGCATTATAGAGAAATATCCCCATCAGGAGAATTTTCTTAAAATCCTTCTTTTCTTTTTTCTTGTTTCTCAGTGGCTGCAGGCACACGGTTAGTTTTTGAACAGTAAGAGCCTTAATGTTAAGTGTTGCAATAAAATCCTGGGATACTGGTGAAGTTACTGTCTTCTCATTACTCTGACTTTACCAGTCTTCTTAGAGGAAAACAATTTGAGCATGCCTCCTGGTGTAGCAGAGGCAGCACTTTCCCTTATCAAAGACTCAGTTGGAGCTGTTAAAAAGGACAAGATACATAAACCATGTTAACTACTTTCTTCAGACACTACAAATTGTACCTAGTGTTGTTTTCTCACAGTCAGCAAGCTCCCTCTTCATTGACAGTGATCAACCTTCACCATCTTCGTGGCTGCCTTAAATTCATCAGGAATAAACACCAGGCCTGTTTTGCTCTGTTCATGAGCTGGGAGATCTCATTATTTTCAGAATATTCATTAGACTCTCTACTTAGTCTAAAAATAGTAGTTTGGGTTTCTTTTTTTTGCCACCGAGTGACTAGTGGGCAGCATCTTCATGCATTTATCCATCCCACAATACAAGAGCTCATAACTACATGTACTCCAACACTGTGCCTTCAAGAAAACAGTAGCCCTAAATAGACTCCACCTTACAGTATTTGACATTGTCAAAGCACTGGTTAATGTTCACTAATAACAATTATCTAATTCATCTTCAGGGCAACCCTGTGAGCTAGGTAAAACTGATATAATTAACGCATGACTAAAATGAGATTTAGGATTTAAGTCAGTTGCCTGGGCAGAGGCCTTCACGGTCTAGTGGATTAGACATCTGTCTCTTCAACCAAAGAAGTTGAGTCTAATCCTTTTTCTGACATTGATTTGTAGTGTGACCTTACGAAAGTCAATTAACTTCTCTGCCTCAGCTGCCCTAGAGATAATGATGCTTACCTACCCGTTGACACATGGGTGTTTGGAAACTGTACTAAACAGTATCTTTAGTGTACTCTTAAGGCCTGTCAGTGAAGAGCTGAAACATTAAAGCTTCCTGGCTTTAATATCCTTGCTATCTCACCTAATTCCTCCTCCCCACACCGGAAATAGCTTGGGTGTAAGAAGGAATTTCTTATGCTAAGATGCTGCTAATGAAACCGTGGCTGGCATCAGGAATTTTCATCAGATCCTGTTTGACCAGCAAATTTATTTAGAGTATAGGTCAGCATTAGAATTGCAATATAAAGTTTACTTTCAATTTGGCCATGGGAGAAACCAGCATCCTTCTTGTGCCACCATGAGGTAATAAACGGATTTTCATGGCCATCCCCACCAGGCACCCCACCTGATTCAGAGGGAGAGGAGCCTGTTTGCAGAGACCTGAGAGCCCGTGCTCATGCACCATCCCCACTTCCCTCGTACCTCTAAGTGAAATCTCTGCAGGGTAATTTCTTCAGGTGGCCTTATCATTAGCAGGGATGCAAACCCAGAGGAAGACCACCTACGTACATGCACGTCCTGGAGCACACCCCCTGTATCTTTCCATCTTTGAGCACTGGGGCATTATACTTAAGAGGAGGACAACTAAAACCTGCTCTGTTCAGTTCACTAGAAGCCATCCTTGAACTTCTGTCCTGTCATCAACATAGCTTTTCATGACGTAAGGTAGAACATTAAGAAATATTGCTTCTGTAGTTGTCATGTAACTTTATGTCCCTTTTCCTATATTCGACCTTGCTTTAAATTATTTCTATAAAATATTCTGCTGCTACATATAATGCTGCCTGGGCCCATAAAATCTCCCTCAATTCTAGTACAGCAAGAAACCAGCCAAACAAGACAAAAGAATTCAACATTTACCTTTATTTCTGTAAGCAAGATTAACATTCCTTCTCTTTAATACTGAAGGAAATGTCAGGGCTTTTTCCCTTTTGCTTGCTGAATTATAGGAAGTGTGGTGAATGATCATGCAGCCAGTAAAACAATGACCTGCTCCTGCCTCTGCTGTGGCACCAATAGCTTCTTGGTATCCCCTCTGCTGCCAATCCACCTGTGCACTGGCTGATTTGTTTCACTGCCCTGCTCTTTCCACCCTCTGATCAGTTAGCACACATCTCCACCCTCACATCTCTATTGATGTGTTTAACGTTTACTTTGATGCTACTCCTTGAGGCTTTTCAAAATCTTTTCTGAAAATAAGACCATTAAAAAGAAACCCTTTGGGGAAAGACAGGGAGGAAAGCCAAAGCAGAAAATCCATGTGCTTGTGTATAATATACCTCAAAAGCTTTGTCTTGCCACAAGCCTGGAGATAAATTAGTACTGCTGTAAACAGGGAATAAATACTGTATTCTCCTAAAATACATCTGGGCTAATTCAATAAACTCTGGCTTACTGGATGCTACTTGTGCAAACTTCTGCATATTAAATCCCAATAAATTACTAATGAGCTACCAGATCAGTAATACAGATATTCCCCAGGCTGAAAGATTGCCTATAGCTTGTCCCTATATATTTACTTATTGCTGAGGCTACCAGCATGGACTAGCACAGGCCAAATGGCTCCATGTCTATATACTGTGGAAGAACTTAGAGGTAACTTGTGGTAGCTTATAAAATACACTCTAAGACTGTATACTGAGCATGGCAAGGAGTATGAACTAAAACCATATTCAGCCCTCACATGCCTAAAATGAGACTTTTCAGTGCTGTTTTTTTCCTGGGTTAAAATTACCTGTGTGCTAATAAGATGATTAATACGTTACACATTTGGCATAAGCAGAATATTATAATTGCATTCAGACAGATTGTTGGGTTCTTTTCAATGCTGCTGAAGACTGTACTCCTTCTAAGAGTTTGTAGCTTATCTAATAATATTATCTCCTGCACTTGCATGTTTGGGTTTGGGTTTTTTTTTTTAGTCTTACTATATGGCAAGTTAGAACTTGTACCTGCACCTGATTTACTAATGCACTGAAGCATCCATTTAACCTTACGGTTGAGCTTCAGATCTCTGCTGCATCAAGCTCTTTGTTTAAATATGCATCTTTAGTTTCATATTGCATATTTTTCAAGATTTCATAAAATTACCCAACAACCCAGTTCAAAAGTTTGCACTACAGACCAACAGATGTGACTTCAACTTTATCTATCAATGCAGTAAAGAATACGTAAAACTGGGAAGGACAACTCATTTTTCTTCTTCATCTTAATTCTTTCCAGTAGCTTCTGTTTAGATCTATTTACAAATAATGTCAGTTTCCTGTGAGACATTTTCCCATTTTTAAGTTTGGAATGAAATGGATAATTTGTGTTTAATGTTTTGACTGTAAAGGCGTGTGGCTCTTCGGACTTATATTGGCTTTGCTACGATTAATGTTGTTGAAGTAAATGGACACAACATGCAGTTACCTTGTAAAATACTGGTGGCTATTTAGATGAAGATTGGATGAAGGAAGGAAAATCAGTTCATCTGAAGTTTGGTAATTTTATAATTGTTACTGTAAAGTGTTTTTACATCTTAGTATGATCTCTAGAAGACAATGCATAGCCAGTATTATACCAGGGTAGATACAGACAATGAAGGCAAAGCTTAAGCTTGCAAGGATTAGTGACTCTAAATTGATACAACTGAAAAAAACATTGAAAAATGCTTAAGACAGGTGCCTTCAGGAACTAGCAAAATGCCTCACCTGCTAATTTTCAAAAGTCTGTAGAGACACTGATTGCACCTGGAACCTCTGATTTGATTACCAAAATAAAAAATGTCTACTGTAGTAGCCTCATTTGTACTTTAATTAAGAGCTTTGTATTTAAATATAGCCATCTTATCCCCTCAGGTTATTTTTGAAGTAAGCTTCTGGCAAGGCAGCAGTGTGGTGGATTAGAGGCTTGGAACTGAGGAAAAATCATCATTTGGCACACAGTTGAGAATAATGTGTGCATATATATAAATACATGTGTATATGGTATCATGTAACAAGATACAGGACTGGGTTTATTAAAGCCAAATGGAAAGAAATTTTCTCTTTTAATATTATAGATCTCTATTAATATATGTGACATAGATATTGCACTGCAGTCTGATTCAGATAAATAACAAGAGCACATCAACCTGATCTGTCCAATGAAAGTTCCATTTTTCTACAAACATAAAGCCAAGTTATCAACTTGGCTGTCTGCATCTACTACTCCATCTAACTGTGGCTGTTATACCTGACGTGTGTATGTAAGATGTATCACCCACCAGCTCACCATTTATCATGGAGCATGCGAGCATGAGCTGAAAAGCATCAGATAAAGCACAGTTATGGAAAACAAGCAGCAGGATAGAGGCAGAAGCGTCAGTCTCAGGGTGCTAATGAGCAATGCTAAAAAGGGAGAAGGGTGAACAATTCATACAAGACGCGGCTCAGTGTGAAAAGCCAGAGAACAATGGATTTTTCTAGTTCTTATTTCAGAAGAGAACTTACAGCTTCCAAATTTTAATGGGCAAGCATGTGCATCCATGGGGAAATCTTCAAGCTGCATGGGACATTCAGCAGAGATGGTCAACCTGTGGGGAAGAAGAAAACACATCATTGTTTTTTGGTGCCTTTCCTTTAAGCCTTTCATGGCAATACATGCATGCTGACACAAGCAAACATTTTCTGAAGGCTCCTCACTCCTGTTGAAATCATAAACCCCCTGATAAAATGAATGTGAGATAGGCCAGCTGGACCACTGTAGGCCTCATCTAGTAATGCTGAGACACGTGAAATGATTTTATTCATGAAAGCTGCTCCAATAAGATCATTCCTTCTCAGGAGCACATGAAGGAACACCTGTGCTTGAGCTTCTGTCATGTATCTTACCGCTTTCTGTAGATACTGCAACTGGACTAGGAATTTTACTCCTGAGTATAGCACTGTTACAGGCATTAAGAAGCACTGCCATTATATATAGATGTAACTGTTTAAATGCATAAAAGTAAGTATTTATAAATACAAGTATATAAACATTTATAACTGTATATAAAGTCAATGACATATATATTACTTCCTATAGCATAAAAGTAAGTATTTATAAATACAAGTATATAAACATTTATAACTGTATATAAAGTTATATATAAAGTCAATGACATATATATTACTTTCTATAGCACTACAGTTAGTTTCTATGGAAATCACATGGTATTGGGACAGCCCATTCCAGTTCAACATACTGTGAATTATCTGGGTACCCTGTCAGAAAAAAAACAACAGGGTCATTTTCCCCAACACATTGCCCGGGGAAGCAATTCCGTCTCGAACTGCCCTGCCACTATGTGGAAATTCTTGAGCTATAGTGGATCTAGAAGTCAGAAGGGCAAAAGTCTCAGTAAAACAGACATATCCCGTGGATGTTCCATATGACTGACGGATGAAGCTGAACACAAAGAAAAGTCTGAGGTGAATTTCTGAGCAGTGAAGTATCAGTTATCTTGATACCAAGAGAGCCAAAGCTTACTTTTCTAGGTGCAGGTAGCACATAGCACAATAAGAATCTGTTTTGATTATGCCAGTTTGATATTTGCATAATACAGATGGTTTGCTCAGGATAGTGAGGATGCAAATCTCATTTTACATTATGAATACCCTTATGGCTTTCTTGTTTTATACTGCTATTCTGCCTCAGAAGCAAAAGACCAGAGACACCCAAAGCCTTACAGACTGCCCAGTGCTGGGGTGACACAGGGCTCTGCTGGGGGGCAGCCTGATTCCTTACCAAACTGCTGCCTGGGAGGCAAAAATCTGTGAAGAAATTCACAACGCCATACTACCAGAACGCAAAACTACCCTCTTCTATCACAACAGCCATCATGTAGCTATACTCCGCTGCTATATATACTTACCACTTCGTATTAGCACACCAAAGTGAGTATTGTTGCTACAAGAACTTCTATCCAAAGGGACCATTAACAATCTGTCTGTGTACAGATGGCACAGTGTTCAGCCTGTCCAATTCAATACGACACAATGATGCCTCGCTGGGGCACTCAAGCTACGTGGACAATAAACTGGAGGAAACAGCTCCACTCTCTGCCAATGCACAGAAATCCTGGAGCTTTATCAATAGTTGGAAATGGCAAAATAAGCACAGAGAAATGCAATAGCATCATTGGCTAGAAATCGTATCATGAGGATGAGCTGGGAAACAGGGAGGGAAAAAGGCAACAGCAAACAGTAATAGAAATTGTGAAGATAATAAATCATATAAAACCAAAGGAAAAATATCTCCAGTTCAGAACAGAAATAATGTGTCATTTGGTAATAACCGATGGGAAGTCCACAATACAGAAAAGAAATTACTGAGGTCTGAGATACCTGCCCTTAGGCAAAACTGTTCTTGAACTTTATTTTAGCAACAGAAATTTTAAAATCTCTAAAATAAGGAGTTGTCTGCAGTGGAGACTGCCCTTGGGCACCAAATCCAGCAAAACCACAGTCACTGCGAGTGCTACATTATGAATTTAACAAGCTGGTTCTAGTAGCATCCTGCCCAGAACTGCCATCCTTTTCATAAAAATCACTTTAACAGGTACTTGAAAGCAAGGCTACCATCCCTCCAATGCATCATTATATTTCCTGTACTAAGTATTGCAAATTTTATTTTCTGTACTAAGTATTGCAAATTTAATTTTCTTGATAAATTCAGAAACCTTGCTCTAAGTGCCGTAAGAAACCTAACGTCTGCAGCTTTCTGCTGCAACCCATTGCCTGTCTCTTTGTCTACCAACAGTTCAAGTATGTTGTTTCAAAGGCTGCAGCTTGACAACATTTTAATACACACACTTGTCACCTGCAAACATCAAAGGAGGGGTTCCCTATATCCATCTTACCAAGAGAGCAGCTGTGGAATCAGGAAGTAAAGGAAGATTCAATGCAGAATTATGAAGAAGACCTTCTCTTTCAACTGATTGTCCTATAAATTTTACCCTGCTGCCTGCATCTCTGGAAACAATGCTTGTGTGTAATGATGAAGGCTGTAGAGATTCCTCAACTGTAAATGTGGAAGTGAAAATGAGGTGCACAGAGACTGTGACCTAGTGCAATTTAATTAAGTCCCTCCAGAAATTAGTTTTGCCTGTCTTAAATGAAAGGGAAGCACATAAGGATGGAGGACACATAGCAGCCACTACCTGTCTCAGAAGCGACAAAAACCCTGATGGTGCCAAGGCTGCTGCTGTGGCCCCTCTGAATTCCTCATCCAGCAAAAGGTGGCAAATAACCCTTTAAAGCATGGTGCCTGGTGCAGTCTTCTGGGTCTAGGCCAGGGGTAGAGAGAATGGAGTTAATCAGCTGCAAATGTGCTTGGATACAGCCCTTTCTTTAACATGAATTCTTTGGATGAAATAGTTCCTTTTGCTTGATATCAGTGTTCTCCCAATGGAGGCATGCTTCTTTTCTTTCCCCATGCCTCCGTCCTAGGGCCACTCCTAGTCTGGCCACCTTGAATAAATCAACTAGCTATTCCTATTTATTACATGCTGTTCATTAAAAGTATGTAGTTGAGCCTCTTAGGTAATTTTAAAATGCTCAGTGAACACTCTCCTAGCTCCCCCTTACAATATGTGCACTAGCCGAAGCTTGTGAAACATCTTGGAATGGGCAACGCAACAGAAAACTTGACCGTGGGTTATGATACACGAAGTTAGTGTCATCACCCTGAGTTTCTGCAGAGCCCTCTGTGCACAACAGGAGCTGTTTTTCATTACTGTGTGAGGACCTGAAAAACAGAGTCATTAAATTGACTCCTGGTTCAAAGAGACTGGATTTTCTACTGCACACATAAAAAAAAACAACAAGCAGCACAGCAGCCATCTCTTACACTCTGGGGGCTGGAAGCATGGATCGCTGCATACAGATTTGCTCCTAGGTACAAACTATATATTCAGATTATAGCTCCAGGAGTCACAGATAAATTGGCATCTGCGTCTGCTCCTTCAAATATCGCCTGGGGTGATATTTGCACACTTTGGCTTTTAACACTGTGTTAAAATATAGGTACCCTTTGCATACTGCAGTTTACACAGCTGATTATAACAAAATTACTCCCAGTTTGCATTTATTGAACCAAGAGAAAGGAGGCCTTGGCATGCATATGTGAAACAGCCTTTGACTAATCCTTTTAATATGGTCACTCCAGAATGATCTTGCTGTGTTCACTGCAGCACATTATCTGAGCTAGAGACAGTCTCCAAACCAGGATTTTTCTGTCACAGCACAAGTGCTGCTCAAACTTCAGTTCCTTCCAACAGAAGTATTTAAAAGCTTCCCACCTTCACCATCGTTCTGAATAAAAGCCCTATGGGATTAGTTTTACTCAACAGAGTTTTTGACAAGATTGTAAGTGGCTCTTAAAGATCCTCTACAGTGGGAAGACAAAACTCCGATTTTATTAAGTTAATGGTAAAATTCTGCCTGACTTCAATGGGGATGGTATTCACACAAAATATGTAACAAGCCCTTGTTACAGCTGCTGCTGTATCATTAACAACAACATTTCACTCTCATAAAGCTCCAAATAGTTATGTTGATATCAAAATGTTAATCAACCAACAAAATGCCATAGCATACCTTAACTACCTGAAAAAAAAGTTATGTCTTCAAAGCTTCATCAAGCTTCATCAAGCCTTTAAGAAAAATAGATTACTGAAATTCTGTTTCAATGAAATATAGACACATCAGTGAATACTCATCTAAGAAAGCACAACAGTTCAAGCAGCAAGACTTCTTCAGTCCAAAAAAGTCACTTTCAACCATTTCCGCTAGAGAATTAAACATGACAATGCTTTCAAGAGGCTGTTGCTTTTTAAACAAGGAGGAGAAGGAGGTGTTAAAGTCAAGGATGTGACAAGGAAATAAATACGGATGTTTAGGAGCCAGACATCCACAGCAAGCATGCTTCAAGGAGAGGTGGGAGTCCCCAGCAGAAGCCCCAGAGGCACAAGGCACTCCGTCCCATAAGAGCCTGTTTTAGGGAGCTGTAAGGGCCTCCCTGCTATTCCCATGATTTCCATCTACGCAAGGCGCTTGTGCTCCTACTTGCGGGAAAAGAGCTGAGAGACTGAGCAAAGCTGTCATCTCTCTGCTACACTGCAAGTGCAGAAAACACTTTCCAGAGCATTATCTGCAGCTGCCAGGCAGGAGGTGAGGGCAGTCACCTGCCGGGGGAGCAAACTGACAGTCGCAGGAATTTGCTTTTTCTTATCAGCTATGAGCTTTAGTACGCAAACAAATTAAAACAGTGAGCTTTAGAAGGAGAGGGGATCAGACAGGCAGAGTCACCAGTGGCTTTTGGGAGAAGTTAACTCAAGTGTTGAATAATAAGAGTTACTGGTGAAGGGGACGCAAGGAATATTTTGTTGGTTCTGAGGTACTGGGGTCAGAGAGATACGAAGTTAGTCTGCCTGTGTGCCCTAATTCCCAAACCAGCTCCATCTTCTTAGATGTTTATTTCTGTGCACTGCCTTTGCCCCTGATTAAAGGGAGTATTTTAATACTGTGCTTTGGCCCTACCTGTGCTGGCAAC